GAGATAGAATTCATAATTTTTCGCTGATTCGATCCATCCGCCGATATCTCTTTTTTGGTCCTTTCTTTGCTCTCTTTCTCTCTTTTCAAATATACTTCTCTTGCTGTAATGTTCTTCACAAATTTACACAAATTTTTCTTTATATTGCAGCACAAAGGAAGTCTTACTCTTTGATTACAGTGATTAGTTTATTGCTCTAGGTTTATTAAACAAATTAATATGGTTAAAAATAAGAATTCTTGTCATGTAAATAGTTATTATAGAAAATATGTTTGGTCATGTCATGACTATGAGGAAGTCACCAAAAAACATCAAATCTAAGAAAGCCACATGAAGGACATAAAATTCTCACATAAACTATTCAAGTTTTAATAATTTTCCATCCTCGATTAACCATCCAGTCTATAAGAAATCAGACTTAATCACTGAGAAAATTCTTTCCTTGTGCTGCGCTATATCATCTAAATAAAGTGAATGAATTTTTCCTTTTTTAACCATAATAATACAAACGGATCTATTGTTCATTGAATAGAGTGATAAGTGAATGTTTAAGAAAAAATAATAATTCTTCTACTTTTAATGCCGTTCTATCCATTTTTATTTGATTGAATGAAAACTTTTTACTTACATTATAAAATTATTATTACTATTGTTAATATTATTTTCTATTGAATGATGATAGTAAAAAAAATTTGAAAGTTAATGATGGAGAAAGAAATTCTTGTTAAAAATCACACATACACACATACATACATACTCACACAAATAAACATTATAAAAAATGGATCAATTTATATTATGTTAAAAAATTATCTAATGAGATGAAAAATTATAAGAAAATGATGATATTAAGATATAATAAGAAGAAGTTTATGAACAGATTTATTGCAATTGTCATGTAAGAAGCTAAGAAAAGATATGAAAAGAATTTTTATGAAAAAAAAATATATTATATAAAAAAAGTTCATTATAATTGTGCAAGAATTTTTAAATTTTTCAAATTTTTCATAATTGTTTCTTTGTCCCCCTCTTTACTTACATATGTACTTCAATTTATTAAATTAAATTAAATTAACACACAAAACAAATGAAAAATGTGTCATTTTGCCTCTTCTTGCAACACAAAAGTCTAAACAGAATGAGAAATAAAAAACTTGTGAAAAGTTAAATTTTTCTGGTTTTTAATCTAATTTAGTTTTATTTTCAGCATAAAAATATTTTTTTTCTCATTACTTAAAGCTGATTTGATGCCTCTTTGAATACAACAGCCCCATTTCCACGTATTCATAATATACTCCTCGTTTTATTATTGAACAAAATAAGGATTTCCTCCAGATTTTTCTAATTCAATTTGTTGCAATATTGTTTGTGTAAGCTCTAAAGATTGCTCACTGTATTTTTGGAAAGAAGCCCGAGACAAACATGAGTCTTAAGATCTGCAATATTAGAAAAATTGATATTAGCTTTAAATCTTGGCTCTTCGTGAGACAATCAATTTTAAATTTTATCAATAATCAGCAACTTGATCAAAGAAGAAACTTACAATTGAGCTGCTCGGACAAAATACTTTTGTAAACATATTTATTCTCCATTGGCTTATTATAAGCGGATATATTTTCTGACCAGATGAAATTTTATGCCTATTTATAAGTAACTTTTAAATTGTTCCACTTTATTCAGTTATTTTTAATAATATCACGAATTTAAGATGCTTAAGAACTTTCAAAAGTTGTTCAATTTAAGAACATTCGTGAATAAATATATTATACATAATAATGAGCAATCCTGATTTCTCAAATTAAGATTAAGTAACTAGACATTCATTGTCTTCTTTGAATGTAAAAAAATAAAAATGATGATCAAAAATGAGGAATTAAAGCTTGAAAATTACATAATTTAAATAAGGCAGAACTCATGGATTGATTTATAAGGTTCTGCAATTCAAATTGATTAAAATTTGGCTATACTTCGTGACATTATGGTAGAAAAATTTGTGCGAAACACATGAGATGATACATTTGTGTTGTTGCAAGCGTCAAGGTTTAAAAATTAAAATGTATTCAAATTTGGTGTGACGACGAGGACGTTGCTCGGTCTATTGAAGCAGAATAGACAATTATATTTGCCATTTTAAAAATCAATTTTTAAGGTATTTTACGTAAAATTATTCTCAAAAATGCCGCATATTCATTGTTAATTGATTCATGCGGTCTCTATGAAATGGCATTTAGTGAAGCAGTGATGGAAATGTTCGAGCACCGACATGAATATTCAAAAGGCATTGATTTATGTGCTGAATAGTAAAATTGTGAACTTTCATCATATTTTGTATTTTTCCAAAAGTTTCATGCTGTGTCTTTTTGGATGAATTTTCTGAAAATGCAATATCAACATGTTAAGATAAAACCAGGACTTTATTAAAGCTAGAACTCAATTACAGCGTATGAACTGAAAACAATTCAATTGAGTAATAAACTTAAGTTCTCATTTTACATCAATGTTATTTCCACATCCACAACATTACATTGTAAAATGAAACTCTCAACACATTTCGGAACGACTTAATTAGAAACTTTGAAACTCGAGAAAATTCCCTTAAGCACATCCACCTTTATTGAATTAATATAAATCACAGTGAAAATAAAATTAACGACTTGGCAGTTGATTAACCTTATCGAACTTCAAACTTTTCTGATTGAAAAATCAACTCAAAATGATATCTATCTTCAAAGTTTTGTGTAGATTCGAAGAAAATGTTGAGTATTAAACAGATAACCATCTGATGAGCAACTATAGAATTAAATGAATATTTTGTTCGACTAATTAGTCGACAGTTGTCATCCTTCTCAAAGTTTTTATGTAAAAACCACTCGAACCTTAATGAGTACTTGACGTAAACTCTTCAATGTTTTCAAATTTTTTTAACGACGTCAATCTTAATTAAAAAGAAAATCCTGTAACAGAACTTTAACAGTTTCCCATGAAATTCCATTTGATATCAAAAAGTTTATATATATTGAAGACTATTGGTCATGAAGCAATGTTTATTAAGTCCAAAAAAGTCAATATATTAACCTAACATGCACAAAGATAGCAAAAGTTTGCTTTTTTCTGTCAATCAGGCAATTTTGTTCAACATGTTCTGATTTAGGAAAGATTCTGCATTCTAAACGACTCATGGAAGTGCTTCTTTTTTTTAGCCAAGACTTACGAGATAAAGAAGGTCGGGATATTTCACTAGAATGAAGTTAGAGTAACTTTTTAAAAATCCTGTGAAATATTCAAATCTATGAATTATGAAGCTACATTTTCTTCAACAATTCACTCAAATTTTAAAAAATCATTGTATTTAATCTATTTTGCAATCACAAAGCATTTCGATTTATTATACAGCAATATACGTGACAATAAGATTGTCTTGAAGGAATTAAGTTAAATTGCTTCTTATTCAGCTTCTTGGCATGTATCTAATTTGAAGCTTAAATCCATTTTTAATCAGACAATAACAGCTTCTGTTTGATTTACATCCAGCTGTAGAGAGTTTATTATCACTTTAAATTTGAATACATAGGCACAATTTTTCAATATTCTGCACTGTAGCTAGATTTCCTATTAAAAATTGAAAACGAAACGATGCAGTAGATTTTATCTTATTCAATTCGAATCATTTTGAGCAACACAAAAAACCCTTAAAATTGCTAACATCAAGTCAGATAGGAGCTGATTTAGCATTTTTCGCTGATTAATCTTCAACAATGGAAAATCTTTTTTCTGTTTCTCGAATCATTTCCATTAATTCAATAGAAAAATTCAAAAAAAGCTTCTAAAATATCTCCGAATGTTTCGGAGATCCCTATAAAGAATCACAATGAGATTTATTTTAGGCCTTTTATACCTTTTCAATACAGAAATGTTATTATTAGAGCATCTTCATTGTGAAAGGATTTTATTGAATTTTTTTTTAAAATAGAAAATTTCACACGACTGAAAAAAAAACATTAGTAACATGTCTGCATTAATCAGGAACTGAAGCGAATTTCTTGAGTTAAAACTATATCAAGCTTGAAAATTTCCTCAGTTTTAGGGACCAAATTTGGAATCGATTATTTTACTTATTTTCGAAGTTTCAGGGATCAAATTGGTGATTTATTTTCCAATACAGCTCGGTATATCTATGTATGTTCAAAATGTGAGGAAAAATCACAAAATTCCTCGGTAAAATATTTCATTTTTGTCGATAAAATCCTGATGTATATGAAAAATTAAAGCTATTCAATAAAACTTGCTTACCATAGGTTTATGGATGACGATATAAAACTATTTGTAATGTTAGAGTAAGTTTGACGAAAAAATGTCTAGTTGAGAACAATTTTATCCCAATTTTTAGAGAAGTAGAGAAGAAGAAAAGGAAGTTACGGGAGTCCAACTAAGACCAACCTACACAAGTTTCAGTTACCATTTTTAAAATCTTAATGAAATGCGCTGCATCCAAAACAGCAATTAAAATATATATCAAAAAAATTCTCCACTCATACTCACGCATCAACGCCACAAAGCCTATAAAAGAGTATTAAAATTCCGCAATTTCAGCTCATACATATTTTATTGAAAGAATTTTTCTGCAGATTTATATTTTTTTTTAAAAAATTATTACTATTATTATTATTTATTGTTGTTTATAATATAGTTGCATCGTTTATTCATGCTTTATGATGAAATCGTTACAACAAAAGACGATTTTTATCTTGCATATATAAATATATAATATGACAAATAATAAAATCAACATTCATCCAAAATTATGTTTGCTGAATTTTATGTTTAATGCTAAGCACAAATATATTATTTCTTTTAGAAAACTTTTTTTTTATATTTTTATAATTTTTTGTCTTTTCAATTTTTGGTATCGAATCTTTTTTTTGTGAACTTGACAATTTTATTGAAATAACAGTAAATATGTCAAATTATAAAGTTACTAGTACTAAAGTTAAAATAATAATTTAATCACACTGTTTGAGGAGTTCCTCAAACATTTCAACCAAATGCTCAATACCATCGAGATAATTTTTATCGACTGTTGGCTGTCCATCAGATATCTCATTGTTATTGAATGTATGTGCAAAATCAATCATTTTTACATGAACCCATTCTTTGTTGCTGTCATAGACTCCTACGAGATTGTCAAGCATCAATGTATAATTGTCCTTCATTTTTTGCATTTCCTAGATTAAAAAATACAGAATAATGGAAGCATGAAAAAATTGATCATAGAGTTGAAGGATTTATACTGTGGGTAGGTCAGTTCTACAGCAGTAGATAACAGTGAACTGTTCCCAAAATTAGGCCAACAACCACCAACAATTATTATCTTTTGCCAACCATAAAATTTTGAATAATCCATAAATTCAACATACCTGCTCATAATTATTCATGGACGAATGTGATCTCTGAATTTTTCTGTATACTGTTTTTGGTACTGTTGGACTACCGGATGCTTCTAATGTATTCAATGATTCACCAGAGCCTCGCAATGAATTTGAACTGCTACGATTTGGTTTTAATTGATTCTGTAAGCTATTGAGAGGAGACTCACTCCTAATTTCACCATCCGGCGTCGTTGGTGTTCGTACTTTTGCCTCAAGAATTTGTCGTAATTTTCGAGCATCATAAATAATTAAGATGGAACTTGAATAAAATTGATAAACTTTCTGTGTACGTATCCATTTCTGAATGGCCCATAAATTCGTGAGAATTTGCATAATCAACTGACGACATAGACCCGAATCAGCATTAAGAAAGAGTCGTAAGGCTAAATAAATAAATGAAAAAAATGAATGAGAATAAAATTTCATTATTTTTGTACAGTCATGAGTGCACATAAAGTCTCTGTGCTGATAATCTTGGAGTAGAAAAAAATTCGGTGGCTCTTGTGTCGATATTAACTTAAGATTATCTTATCTAGTTCCTTCTTCTTGACGTTTTTTGTCGTGCAAATTGCGTCACATTTTTATTGTTTTATCGACGCATTAAAATAATGGAATGACAAACAATGAGAAGGAGGAACTCAAGTCTATGTTAATTGGAACCGTACTTGTGAGTGTGACGCATTTGCTTGCAAATTACCAGCCATCATCATTATATTAGTGGTCAGGGGTCGTAACTTAAAACTCAATAGGGTAATAACGAGAACAACAGCATCGTTGACAACTCAGAATTCATTACTTACCTTCTTTAACAGTATTTTGATTAAGTTTTTTGCCATATTCTTTTCCAAACTTTTTGTAAGTTCCACTTGCAATATGATGAGTTTGAAGTCCGGGAATACAGAATCCAACCGTATTTTTACAACCTACATATTTATTCTCCTCAGCTTCTCGTTTCTGCTCCGTTGCTAACGGGTCCCATGTTCTTCTACCCATTTTGATATCGATAACGCACGGCTCCGATATGCCATGCGTCAAATCACGTAATTTAATAAAGTTGACCGCCTTTGAACCGACAGCTAACGTTTGTGTACCACGATATTCAGCGATGAAATCACGTAATGGAAGTATATCTTTATCAGTTGTCGTCAGCAATTGCTCATAAAACTTAATTTCACGTGCAGCACACATTGGAGAGCCAGCAGGTTTCAATACACTGCCATCATCAACTGATTTTAACATTCCGATTTCCTCGGTGCCAACATGGAATGTATGACCTGCGACTTGATGATCCATTGTCACAAATCCAACAGGGATTTTCTGATCATTCGACATTTTCGTGTTTGTATTTGTTAACGAAGAAGTTGGTGCTGTAACAATTAATTGAAATGAAGTCGCAAAATTTGAGGTGGGCGAAGGAGTTGATTGAACTGAGGTCGAACGAACAAAACCAGCATAACTTTTACGCTGCTGCTTTTGATAAGGCGGTAAAGGTGGAAGCTTCAAGTGGCTCATCTGAAATTGTTTAATTAAAATGAAATTTTCTGCACGGAATTCTTAATCGAATGAAGTGATTTATAGAACTAAATAGAAAATTTAAACTTTTTTAATATTGGCAGCAAAAAGAAGTTCTTATCGGAATTATTTTATGAGGATTTCTGATACAAAAAAAAAGATAAGATATATCATTGTTTTATGATGGTCCTTTTTATTTTATTATCAGTCTGGTAATGTTTCAAGTTGAAAAATGCAAATTGACACATTAAAAAGGAAATGCACATGACTTTATTTCTTATATGAATAGAATCCTTCTCCGGATTTCATGCCAAACTTTCCTTCTTCAACCAACTTGTTAAGCATTGGAATTGGTTCAAAGAGTGGATTATCTGGATATATTTTATGCCAAATTCCCATAATCTTTTGTGTTGTGTCGATTCCAACGTAATCACTCAATTCAAACGGTCCCATTGGATATCCAGCTCCAAGTTTCATTGCAATGTCAATATCTCTTGCTGTTGCATCCCCACGTTCTAACATACGAACAGCTTCAGCCATATAAGGTACAAGTAATCTATTAACAACAAATCCAGGAGTATCTTTGCATGTAATACAAGTCTTGCCAAGCTTCTTTCCAAAGTCCATAGCTGTTGTGTAAGTAGCATCGCTTGTTTCAGGAGTTCTGACAACTTCTAGGAGCTTCATAACTGGAACTGGATTGAAGAAGTGAAGACCGCAGAAACGATCTAGACGTTGTGTACCTTTGGCAATTTCATTGATTGGAATTGATGAGGTGTTACTGGCAAATATTGTCGATGGTTTCGCGACCTAAAAATAATTTTTATAACATTTGAATATGCTTAATCTAAATTAATCCTTACAGAATCAATTGATGAAAATAATTTCTGTTTAACTTCCAAATTTTCAACAATAGCCTCAATGACGATATCGGTATCTTTAACGACGGTAGATAAATCTGTGGATCCGCTAATCCTATTCATTGATTCCTTTACAAATCCCGTAATCTTTGATTCTTCATCTTTGAACTGCTTCTTTCCGACACGTTCCAAACTCTTTTCAATTCCCTTTCTAGCCTTATCAAGCAATTTCTCATCCAATTCTACCATTGTAACCCTGTGACCTGACGTAGCAGCAACCTGGATCATAACAAATATTTTGTTGTTAAAAACTTGGACTTTGGACCATGCTTAATATTTTGTAAAATACCTGAGCGATTCCAGAGCCCATCAAACCGGCACCAATTATGGTGACATGGTTGATGACTGAACCTGATGACATTGTTCTTTTAATCACGTGATTAATTAAATTTGACATGTTGATTCAATAAGTTTAATTAAGAAACAAACTTTAGTCAAGCCGAGCAAGGTTTGATGATGATAAAAATATTAGGAATGAAGAATGTAAAGTTGTAGTTGTATGTGGTGAAAAGTTTCTCATGTATAGAATCATAAATTCAAATATTTATTGACTGTTCGAAAAATTTATTTCTAAAAATATTTTACAGATATTTGTCATCAAGTAAATATTTTATTGTCAGTCCACACCTTTCTTATTAATAAAACAATTAACACTTCGTAATATCACCAAAGTCGAATCTTATCTCGAAAAGTTATTTATAATTGTAAAATCCTTCACCACTCTTGACGCCCAATTTTCCCTCTTTAACCATCTTATCAACTATAGTACTTGGTGCGAAAAATGGTATATCTGGGAATTGATCATGATAAAATTTACGAGCATTGTGAATGACGTCAAGACCAACAAGGTCACAAAGCTCAAATGGTCCCATTGGATGTCCTGCACCAAGTTTCATAGCTGCATCAATATCTTCCTTAGTAGCCACATCTTCTTCAAGCATTGTAAGTGCCTCATTAATGAATGGTGATAGAAGCCGATTAACAATAAATCCAGGTGTGTCTTTACAAGTGACACATGTTTTGCCGAGCTTCTTTCCAAATGCCATGACTAGTTGGTAAGTAGCCTCACTTGTTTCTGGAATTCTAATGACTTCAAGAAGTTCCATCATTGCAACTGGATTGAAAAAGTGAAGACCACAGAATCTATCCAATCTTTTAGAATTCTTGGCTATCATACTTATTGGAATTGAAGATGTATTGCTAGCAAAAATTGTAGAAGCTTTTGCAACTGAATCAATAGATTTAAACATTTTCTGCTTAGTTTCTAAATTTTCAACAATTGCTTCAATTACAAGGTCAGCATCTTTAACAGCTTCTAGTAAATTTGTAGTCACAAAAACACGAGTCATTGACGTTCTAACAAATTCCTCAATTTTCAGCTGATCATCATTAAATTTTCTTCTTCCTACACGATTTAGAATTTTTTCGATGTAATTTCTAGCTTTTTGAATGAGCTGTTCATTAAGATCAACCACTGTGACGTTAAATCCCTTTATCGCTACCGCCTAAAAGTTTGTTTTTTTGGGAATTATTTACTTTACTGATTAGAAAATATTTATAAAGTAAACCTGTGCAATTCCAGAGCCCATAACACCCGATCCAACGATGACAACATTTCTTATCTCTGACGACATATTTTTTGCTCAAAGTTTAAACAAATTTGAATTAGAAATAAAGCAGATTTTAGAAGTTTTTTGGAGAAAACTTAATGGAAACAATCTTTAGACCCGAATTCACAGATACTTGTTGATGATAATGTTTATACTTCTCGATGGTGAAAACATTTATAAATTTGAAAGCCGTTAATTCATTTTATTGAATTTCTCAGTAGCACATGATTCCTGTCTTTTTTTATCAACATCTATGCTGAATTTATTTTTTCATAAACAAAAATAAAAGTTTAAATTTTGCCGACTATACAAAAATTTGATTGTAATTTTATCTTTTTGAATGTACAGGAAATGAAAAGTCCATAATAAGTATTAAACTATTTAATGACATCGTGATCTTTAAATGTCATTTACAGCCAATAATAGTTTTGAAAATAAATGACTATTTTTCTAGGAAAATGTGGTGATTGTTATAAGTACTTACACATCGTTGTTCATCTTTATTTTATTTTAATTAAATTCACTTCCCAATTAATAAATCTTAAATAAGCTCCTTTATTACTAAATCAATACAGTTTCAATGACTAGACTTATTGTAAGTTTAAGTTGTTAAAATTATTTCTTGCACGACACAAAATTGAGATCAAAAGCTTTACAATGCACTAACGTTTCAAAAAATTTCAACACACACGCTAAGTGAATTAATTAAACTTTTTAACTAGTAAAAAACTAAATTCATGTGTAGAATGAAAAAGGCATTGAACAACTTCACCAACTGCGTTCAGAAATCACACTAAACTGAAAACAATTCAGGCTTTTTCATGTATGTCTCTGAGCTTTTGCTGAAAAGTAAAAAAGCTTTGCTGAAAAAAATTCAAAAATTCAAAATACGTTCAACATTTTTATTTCAACCAATATTTTTTCAATTTTTTTATTCCTTTTTTCAAAAATGTTTTTTTCTTTAACAAAAAATTTTTTAACTCAAAAATACTTTTCTTTTTCGTCCATTTTTTCCCGGAAAAATTTGTTCACTTAATAATTAGAAAAATATATGAATAATTATTATTGTAAAATATCTTTCATTACTTTTATTCTTTTTTTTTTCAATTTTTTACCAAAAAGATTTTTTTTTTCTTTAATAATTTTCTCTTCTCATTCTTCATTTGGTAAAATTTTATGTTATCACAAATTAATGAATCACTTAATGATGAATTATGTGTTCCAAATGAGAAAATTATAATGCAATAATTTTTCGAAAAAAGCTAAACAGGCAACGGGGTAGATTTACTGATTTTTCACAAGTTTTAACCAATGATTCTAGATTCTACAAATTTAGCTGTCAATTTTTATTAATTTGCTCTTCAAAAATGACCCCATGCCAGTGAATCTACCCCATAAATTTTTTAAAATTTTGTCAACGCTAATTCAATAAAGCTTCCATTTTCGCTTACATTTTAATCGAATCAAAATTAATGCACATTTTTTTAAAAAATATTTATCATATTTTCCTTCTATAACTTCGCTATATTAATGAATATAAATTTCCGTTATATAACTTCTTCCTAGAAACTTTTAATATCAATTTTTTTTTTCATTCTCATTCATTGACTGTCATCGAACAATGACTATAGCTTTGTATTTTACATTCAATAATTATTAAAGTTTTAATTTATCTTCACATAACGTCTTTCAGCCGTATAATTTAATTTATTTAAATCTACAAAGAAAATAATGTTAATTGGCACATGCTTGAAGGTAAATTTTCAATGATTTTGTTGACTCGTTTTTTATCTTTTTTTTTCTTAATTCCAATTAGCGTCACTCTTAGTTTTTTTAAACCTATCTTTCATTTTTTTAAGTAATTAATGAGATATATTAATATCATTTTAATTCAACTTAAGGATTGCTGTTGGTATCTGTTTTAAGATATTGTCATGATTGAAATTCATGGAAATTTAAATTAAAACTGCCTGGTTGGCAATCTTGTATTTAAAATATTTTACTGAATTTTCATGACTAGATTCGAGAAAAATCTTGAAAATTAATTGTAGAAGTTCACCAAAAAATTTGAAAATATCTGCAAATCCTTAAAAATTATCGGACAATTCAAAATTACAGCTGTAATCCTTAAAAACATTCAAAATCCTATTAATTTTCCTCGCCATTATTAAAAACAATTTTTTTCTAAAATTACACAGCAACAATAAATTGAGTAGCCTTAATCATTCTCTAATAACTTAATTAATTTTGACTATCCTATTTGAAACATAATAAAAACGTGATACTTTTTAAAATCAAAATGATAGCGAAAAAAATTGATTGAGGAATTCTGAAGCTCAGCATAAATAATGAAGAAGAAGAAAATGAAACTAAGAATTTTTTTTTTTTGTAAAGATTAATGACTGAGAAAAGATAAAGAGAAGAAAATTTCAAATTCTAAAAGCGTCTGAAGCATCATCTTCCATTTTCAACCAATTCTTTACCATATATATTATTTGTGGTCTCTTAAGTCGGAACTGAACGCTTACATCCATTTATTGTTCAGTGAAAACCATAAATTTCTCCTCTAGTTCTCCCTTAAAAACTTCAAACATTTATGACATATTTTTCTCAGACTTTTTCTGGAGATGATTGGACACTTTTGTGACAAAGTTTTAAGATCAAACCGTAAGTTTTCAAATAATAAGTTTTTAAGTACAATTTTTAGAAATTAAAACAATTTTTAACATGCATAATTGAGCAACAAGTTTTTAACAATAAAATTTCCAACCCAAGATCCATTTTTCTTCCTTACACATTTTCACAAGTTATAAAATGAAATATGAGGATTTTTTTCATACAGTTATAAGAATAAGAAAAACTAAAAAGCAACATATTTTTCTTATACTGCACAAAGTCTTGACATGCGATAAGTTTCTATTCACATAACTTGAATATTTACTTAAAGCGGAAAAAAATTTCCTTTTCTTCTCACAAAGTTGTCTTGTGTTGTTCACAAAATTATTATCTCTAGTTCTTTACATCGAAACACATTGAGTTATGAATTTTCATGATGAATGTATAATATATAGTTCCATATATAAGTGTAGTGATATTAGAAGTATGAAATTCATGAGAGCACCTTATGTGGAATTTTTACTTTATATGCAGATGTATTTTTGTGTCATGATTAAAGAATGTCTGCAATTTTGTTTTATTTATTCTCAGAATATGCACTTTGATCATCCTCATAGATAGATGGATTGTTTACATTTGAGTCTGTTTAGCATTATTTTCACATGAATGGCACAAAAAGATCTTTAATAGTATTCACATGAACTTCGTCTAAGATATTTTTGATATTAAATTCTCATGTCATCTGCACTCCTTCATTTAAATACAAGAATTCATCATATCATGTATTCATATCCTTACACTAGTCCTTAAAACCCATCTCAACATTTGGCAGAAATATATTTCATTTTTGCTCAAATAAAAACTCTCATACAATGGGAAAGTCTGAATTAATTAAATACATTTTAATAAAGCAATTAAGCAAATTTTTCAGCATGTTTCACATCTCTATCCGGATGGTATAACAGAAACATGTGTAATATAATAGAATATGTTCAAGTGAGAAAAAAGTGTCATCAACATAATTTATATAAAATGAAAAATTATTTTCTAAACAATAAAAATATGCGTAGATGTCAAGTGGTTTTCTGTTGATTCTTCTAGCACGTCTTTGGACAAACATTCTTATCACTTCAGCATAAATTGTTATCTTGACTAAGAGTTTGAAAGTTGTAGATTTTTAAACTTAATTGTTGGTCATAGTTTCTATAGAATCAAACTTATTCTCAAATTTGATACATTCACAACTTCAATATTCCCTTACCAAAATAAAGAAAGACATTCAAGGAATATTTCACTTGATATCTTTCTCGCCTCCCAGCTATTTTTATCAACTTTCTCTCGCTCTCGTCTATATCTCAAAAGTTTATAAAGTTTTCATCAAAAGGTCAGAAAAATTGTTTGCCAAGCAAATTTGTTGCGTAAAACTTAGTAGAATGTTTATTACTGGCACAGATAAATTATAAGTTGAGAAAAAATTTTTTTGATTAATTTCTTAGGGTTATCATAATATTGTTGAGTGCGGGATGAAAGTTTTGATTGGTTTTGTAGTAATTTAATGAAATGAAACGTCTGTGTAGAAAAGATAAGAAGGATCTTATCGACCGACTTGGCAGAGAAAAATTAATTAAAATATCATGTCGCATGAATGTTCACAAATTACTTTTTTATGCTTGATCATTTAATTTTATTCTCATATATGATTAGTCTAAAAGGAGGAACCAATCATGAGAGAAAATGACAAAAATATTTCAATACATTTTTAGAAAATATGTCTAATATCTCCTTATATGAATCTTATTTATGTTCATGCTAGCTCACATTTACAAATTCTGAATTTTTTGTGATTCATCTTGTTTTTTTATTTCAAAAATTTGCACATTAGTATGAAATCTGAATCCACACAACTCATCTTCAATGACTATGTTTGTTGAGTGACTTATGTTTTACGCCAAAATTTTTTTTGAATAATTATGAAGCACATTTTTAAGTGATAAATAATAATTTAATTACGAATTTAATATTTTCAGTCAGTTAAATACTGAAAATTTTAGTCTAGTGCATAAAACAGTTTGCGAAAAATTTCTTCCAGACATTTTGCTAACAGAAAAGTTAAAGACATTTGAAAAAGTTCAAACTCAAAATACTCAACTTAGTTTTTGTTTAAATAATAATATTTGCGCTCATATAAACAAAACGCTACTTTTAATGGTTTGTTTAGCTTTAATTTGTATGAATTTTTCGAACAAGAGCTTTGCAATTTCCGATGATTATTTTCCTCTAGAGGATATGTTGAGTAAAGATTTAAAACTTTAATTTTTATTATGAATATTTGTAAAGTTTTAAGGACTTTGTAAACTGAACTAAAGAAGAAATTTAAACTGTCTGAAGGACAAAAATTTGTAATTAGT